TCTCGAGTGCTATGGCTTCTCCATCCCAATCTGTCTCCCTCCTCTCTTCTAACCTCTAGCTGGCTGCCCTCTGGCCCTCTTGCTTTTGTTTTCAGCCCCAACAGTGGGCCCTTGGCTTCCCAGGGTGAACCTCACTGCGTGCAGCCAGCACTCGCCCACCCTGGGCTCTTCTGTTCCCGGCAGCTTCTGGCAAATGTCCTGCCTGACCAAATTCCAACTTGAGTCCCAACCCCCAGAGCTGGCCTGGTCCCTAAGGCAGGGATGGAATTCCCCCAGAGCTTTCCACATGACTAAACAGATAAATTGTGTGATGGGTTATCCGTGTCTAGTTCCAGAGCGGGAATGGGAGAGGGGGCTCTAAAGCTTTCATGAGCAGATATGGGCTCATCACCCCATCCTAACCTGTAAGTGCTCTTGGTGTTTCCCCCAAATTCTCATTCTTCCTGTCTCAGGGCCTTTGTGCACCCCGCTGCCGCTTTCCAGAAGACTTCTCATCCCCACCTCACCCCCCAACTCTACTCTGACTCATCGTTGGGCTTTCGTTTTAATGTCCCTTCCTTTGGGGAGCCTTCACTGCTTACCTCGCTCCACTCCTGTCCTGGATCGCATAGGTGCTTTTCTTTTTTCTCCTTTGTCATCTACGGCATCTCCATCTCCATCATCATCGTCATCATCATCATCATAGCTCATGTTCACGGGGCTTCACCTAGGCACTCCTTGAAGAATTTTACAAGAGCTAACTCAGTTGATCTTCCTCCACAACCCTGATGCAGACACCGTTTTGATCTCTGTTTTACGGATGAGGATTCTGCCTCAGAGAAGTTAAATAACTTGTCTGTGGCCATATGGGTAAGTAGGTGAGGTCAGGTTTTGAACCCATGTTGTCTGGCTCTGGAGACACTTGGTGCAGCGACTTTCAACCGCCTCTCGTGTGTGGCATTTGTCATACCACCTGGTGCTCCACCATCGCCCCTCTGTTTTATTCACAGTTGCATCCTAGCATGTAGTGCGAATCCTGATAAAAATTAAGCTCGATAAATACTTTTTTGGTGGAATGAATGCCTGAATTCTGGTTTATAGATATTTTACGTCTCACAAATTCAAATGAAACAATGCTGATTCTTGATTTGGTGACGTCAGTAGACAAGGCCAGCCACGCAAGTGGTGTGGCGTCTTTGGATTCCTTAATGGCTTCTGTATTAATCAATCTCATTCAGTAGGAACAATGTGAGCTCAAGGGAAATTGTTGTCTGTCCCAGCCCCCCGCGTTTTCCATAGCAGGAGACTGGGGCCAGAGTGTTTAAGTGACTCGTCCATGGTCACACATGAAGCCAGCGGCAAACAGGATGCCAGGTCTGCTGGTTTCCAGTCCTGTGTCCTTTCTCTGTGCCTGGTCAAACAGAAATTACTGTCACGTGAGGGTGTACAGTTAAAACAAACATCAAGGCTGCAACCAATTTGATTATGACTCCAAACAGCGTGAAGGGGCATGTGGCTCCAGGGCTCCTGGGGACTATGACCGGCTCAGAGTAAACACAGGACTTCTGATAGGGAGGCATGCTTGGCCCAGAAAGGACCTAGACTCTGCAAATTTCTAAGAGTGTTCTAAGAGTTTATTTCATGGCCTTTTTTTTTTCTGTGTGACCTTGGGTACATTGCTTTGCTTCTCTGGTCTCTAGTCTCCTTGGTAGTTTGACAGGGTATATGGACTGAATGTTTGTGCACCTCCACCCCCACCCAAATTCACATGTTGAAGCCTTGATCCAGACTGTGATGATACTTGCAGGTGGGCTTTTGAGAGGTGATTGGGTTTAGGTGAGGTCTTGAGGGTGGAGCCCCTCCCTGTGGGAGGACACAGGGAGAGGGTCGGAAGCAAGCTCTCAGCAGGAACCGACTGCCTGCACTTTGATCTTGGACTTCCAGCCTGCAGAGCTGTGAGAAATAAATGTCTGTTACTTAAGCACCAGTGTTTATGGTATTTTGGTACAGCAGCCCAAGCTGATTCAGACACAGACTTTTATGAGCTTGACCTTGAGGACTCCTTCTGGCTCTGCAATTCTCATGTTCCTTGTCCAGTTCTCCCCTGTTAGTGCTGTGCCCATTCCTGCCACTCTGCTGTCCCCCAAGCCATTCCTCCTCACTGGGTATGTTTTCTCCAACCCCTTGCCATTAATCAGAGTCTTTTGCTAACCTAGATACTGAACATAAGTCTCAGCCCACGGGTGTGGAGGAAAAGCAAATGCCTTTGGGTCAAGTACAGATACTTCTCTTCATTTCTTTGTGCCTTGAGCAGTTGCTTGTTTAACTTCTCTATGTGTCTATCTGCAAAGGGGGGGGTTGTTGTCACTCTCAAGTGGAATTAAACATGGAAAATTCCCAGGAAGATTGAGGATCAGAAGCATTTTTCTTTTCCTTTTTTCTTTTTAATGTTTTACTTATTTTTAAGACAGAGAGAGACAGAGCATGAGTGGAGATGGGGCAGAGAGAGAGGGAGACACAGAATCTGAAGCAGGCTTCAGGCTCTGAGCTGTCAGCACAGAGCCTGACGCGGGCTTCGAAGTCACAAACTGTGAGATCATGACCTGAGCCGAAGTCGGACGCTCAACTGACTGAGCCACCCGGGCGCCCCAGAATTTTTCTATTAAAGGCAAAACGGTAAATAATTCAGGCTTATAGTGTATATACAGTCTCTCAGCTTTGCCATAGTAGGGCAACAATGGCCATGCACGATATGTAAATAAATGGGTATGGCTGTGTTCCAATAAAACTTTATTTATAAAAATAAGTGGCAGACTGGATTTGCACCCCACTCCCACCTGCGGCACTGTGCTTTGTGGTCCCTTGTAATAGATTATGATTCTCACTACTTTTTTATTTAAACAAACTTCAGGCTGTTCTGTTCTGCCTCTTTCTGTGAGGACCCCCCTTCCCTCCCTGCCTCACCCTTCCTTTCCTAGGTAGTGGGTATTCTGAAGTCACTGTTTTCCTTGGCTTCTCTTCACCCAGAGCTCCAAACACAAGTCCTAGTAGATATGCTGTGTTTGTTGCAATGAAATGACAAAGAGTCCCCCATCATTCCAGGCCAGGAGTCCAGTGTCTGAGGGCCCCCAGTGCAGTGGCGTGGGCCTGGCGCCATTGGAGAAGAAAGCCTTTCTGAGGTTTGAGGGGGGGCCTGCGGACTGGGCGGGGCGCTGCTTTATAAAGAGGTGCTGTGCTTTGACATTAGTGAAAAGCCCCAGCTGGCACACTGGGGAGCTGGCCAGCGGCGGGAGCTGGCGTGTGGGTCTGCTGCACAGGCTTCCTGGCCCGCCAGCGCGCCTCGGGCTCTGCCCATAGGGGGGCCGTTGTTCCTTGTCCATTGTGTGGCGGGCAGGGGGTTTGGGGCTACGGGTAGGGTTGGGAGCAGCCCCTCATCCCACAGAGCTCAGCTCAGTGAAAACAGAAAGATAAAGAGCCAGAAGAGGAGGAAGAAAGAGTCCACCGTGCTAATGTGCCAGCTCGGAAATTGAAGTGACCCACCCGGCGAGGTGAGCGTTCTCGGAGCAAGGATGACATTTGCCGCAAGTTGCTCTGGGCTTGGAATGGGAAATGGGCTTTTAGATGTTGGTAATTGGAATGCACAGAAATTCAGGAACCCATCTGGCAGTTATTCTGCTAATCTCAGTATCCTGGCCAGGGGCCAGGCAGGAACAAAATCGTGTTCTCTTCTCTTAATCCCCAATGCGGTTCCCACTGGACTCGGCAGGCTCCCAGCCCTGGAGATTTCTCAGGGCTCCTCTTCCGGGCTCAACTGCTCAAAGAAACCCCTAGAAATGCCATTACATGATCTCAGAGCCTCAGACACGGCTAGACACCAGGAGGGGCCAGGAATGTGTGTGGAGGGATGGGAGACCCAGGTTCTTAGAATCATCTGGGCTTGAGTTGAATCATGACTCTATGCAGGCAAGGTAAAGGACTATGTCCCCCTTCGGTTGAGAAATGATCTCTCATTTCTCCAGCTTCCAGGATTCGCTTTTGAAATCTGTCACTCACAGACTCTGTTGTACGAGCACACTACTTAATGTTCTGTGCCTCAGTGTCTTTATGTGGAAAGGGAACAATATTGTGCCTCTTCAAGGTGTTATGAGCATCCAATGAGCAAATGAGTACACACACACACACACACACACACACACACACACTTACACACTAGAAGAGGACTTGCCCGTAGTGCACATTTGTATGGGTTTATGACTTTGGTCGTTATTTCCTTACACAAAAACGGGGATAATGGCATCCACTTTCAGTTTCGTTGTAAGGATGTGATGAAATCATGAATGTCAAACCCTCTTACCTGGGCTTGGTGCATTGTAGGTCTTCTGGTAATTTTGTGGGTCCCTTCATGACAGATTTGTGTGGCCATGAGGCTAATTGTCAAGAGTCCTGACAATTAGCCCTCTCTGGCTAATTGTCCCTCTCTGGCCTTAGATGTCCTTCCTCTAAGATCAGGACATCAGCGTGGGTTCATTCTTTCTGCTTGGATGTTTTGACTTCCCAGAAGGTCAGGGAAACTTACCATGGATGACTGTCTTGTAGAGATTTGCCTTTTGCACTAGCTTGACTTTATTTTTTTTTTCAACGTTTATTTATTTTTGGGACAGAGAGAGACAGAGCATGAACAGGGGAGGGGCAGAGAGAGAGGGAGACACAGAATCGGAAGCAGGCTCCAGGCTCTGAGCCATCAGCCCAGAGCCCGACGCGGGGCTCGAACTCACGGAACGCGAGATCGTGACCTGGCTGAAGTCGGACGCTTAACCGACTGCGCCACCCAGGCGCCCCTGCACTAGCTTGACTTTAAATAGTTGGGGTCCCAGGCCGGATATTCCAGTGTGTGAACACTAGTGAAACACGGTGAGGCAGGGGGCCCCTGTACAACCCACTAACCTTTCTTCCAAAGAAGGAGAATCAGGCTTCCTCAACCTTTAGTGGCCCCAAACTCACCATCATCATCACCATTGTCATCATAGAGATAGTCGACATTCATTAAATACTTTACACATGTTAATTCTTGCGACCCTCACAGGCACCCCATGAGGTGGATTATTATCCCCATGTTGCAGATGAGGAAACCAGACACAGAGAAAGTAACTTGGTGGGGGGTGCTGGATGATCACACACCTGCTCAGTGGAATGGGCTTTGATAACAATGGTTAGAATTCCAAGGTTACCTCTTCGCCATAGGCCCTCCCTGGCAGGCCAGTAAATCATCTGGTCACAGGCTGTAGGACATGCAGTGAAGAAGTGGGGCGGTCCAGGGGGTAGGCACCCTGGATTCGTCTGGGATCCATCTCACACCTGCTGGAGGCCAAGGATAGATGGTACATTTTCCTGGGTCACAGCGGCCCCAGCCTGGTTGGAGCTTGGTGAGTCAAGTAAGAGCACTGTCTGCAGGAGGCCCGGGAGAGGGGGAAGAGGAACTTAATGCTGAAAGGGCACACCCAATCGTCACCAGTCTCCTTGCTGACATTCTCATGTAGGTCATGACATGTGTTGGTCAGGGTATAGGATGGTACTTGAGTATGAAGAGACCTGTTGTTTCCAGGTAGATACCTTGAGGCACCTTGAGTTCAAGAAGACATTGGACAGAGACCCCATAGAGCTTTCACATTGCTTAACTCTGTGTCCTAAGAAAAACTACATTTTAACATGAAATGAGCCTTTGGGGGCTTTGGCTACTCAACCCCTTTGGATAGGTCCAAGATTAACTGCTCTGGACTCTCTGGAGAAGACAAGCAGAAGTATGTTCATGTGATGTCCAGAGAATACCCAGAATGTGGTCCCCTGCTTATATGTGTCCTCTAGACCCCTTAGAAGCTCAATCATGTCTTCAGGTGTCCCTGAGCACCTAACTTTTTGCTCAATACAGAGTTCCCATTTTACAGGTGAGGAAGCTGAGGCCCAGTCATTAGTCAATTGGTCATGAGCACACAGGCTGTGGCACAGCTGTGATATGAACCCTGGTATTTCTGGTCTCAAATTTCTGCTCCTTCCTCCTGGCTTATAGTGGAAAGTCTCTACCCCCTGGTTTAAAATTTTTTTTTTTTTCAACGTTTATTTATTTTTGGGACAGAGAGAGACAGAGCATGAACGGGGGAGGGGCAGAGAGAGAGGGAGACACAGAATCGGAAGCAGGCTCCAGGCTCTGAGCCATCAGCCCAGAGCCCGACGCGGGGCTCGAACTCACAGACCGCGAGATCGTGACCTGGCTGAAGTCGGACGCTCAACCGACTGCGCCACCCAGGCGCCCCTCTACCCCCTGGTTTAATGCACAAGGCGTTTCATATCTTGGCCTGTCACTCCTGCTCACTCATGCCACTCTGCAGCCACAAGAGGTTCTTGCTGTTCTGATGGTCTCTGTCCCTTATGCATTCCTGCCTTGCCTGGGCTGTGCGGCTGCCAGGATTTCCCTTCACAATTTTCTACTCATCCGTTGGCACTCAGCTCATGTGTCACTGTCACAGGGAAGGTTTTAAATTATTTTTCATGGACTAGTGAACAGCTTCTAGTCTGTTCTTCCTGGATCCATTCACGCTGATCCAATCTTTTCTTCACATTTCTGCCCCAAAGAACTTTCTAGAATATCCATCTGATCCTACAGCAACCTGGCTCATCACCCTTTACCAGCTCCCTTTTGGTCTTAAGATGCCTTGCATAAAAGGCTAGTCCTGGCCCTTGCCTGCCCCTCTCTTGAATCCCACCCCACCAGCCCCTCCTACCACCCCCCCCATGCTAACCTTTCAATTCTCTAGCAGCAACTCTCTCTCTCTCTCTCTCACCTCCTTCCTTTCTGTCTCAGCCAGCTCGAGTACTGCAACAAAATGTCACAGACCAGGTGGCTTAAGCAGAGATTGATCTTCTTTTAGTTCTAGAGGCTGGAAGTCTAAGATCAGGGTATCAGCATGGTTGGATACTGGTGAGAGCCCTCTTCCTGGCTGTCAGATGGCCACCTTCTGACTGTGTCCTCACATGGTAGCAAGAGAAAGAGAGCTCTGGTCTCTTCCTCTTCCTATGCAGATCACGGAGGCCCCATACTCATGACCTCATCCAATTCTAATTACATCCCAAAGGTCCACCTGCAAATACCACCACGTTGGGGGTTAGGGCTTCAATATAGGCATTTGGGGAGGATATAAACATACCATCTGTAGCACTTTCTCACATGCATCTCCTTCTTTAAAAAAAATTTTAATGTTTTTATTTATTTTTGAAGGAGAGAGAGAGAGCCTGAGCGGGGGAGGAGCAGAGAGAGAGGGAGACACAGAATCTGAAGCAGGCTCCAGGCTGCAAGCTATCAGCACAGAGCCCAACACGGAGCTCAAACTCATGAACTGTGAGATCATGACCTGAGCCGAAGTCGGATGCTCAACCAACTGAGCCACCCAGGAGCCACTCACATGCATTTCCTTCTTTCTGGAATCCTTTCTACCTCTATCTGCACTGACAAACGTCTCCTCATTCTTGTAGTCTCAGTTTAACCATCTCTTCCCCAGGGAGACCTCCGTGTCTTGTAAACCACTGTATGTGCTCCTGTAGCTCTCACAGTGAGACTCTCCACTCTCTACCACCACTAAATCTTAATGTGTCTCTTCTCTGGAAGATGGCGAGCTTCACTGGGCAGGTAGCCAGGCCGCTATGTGCAGAGCTCTGGGTACATAGCAGCTGCTCAATGAATACTGTTAGATGGATGAATGAATGAGTGCATTGGCTTGCCAAGATCATGTTGAGAATTAAATCGGGAAGCTTGGGATTCTAAATTTGCCATTGCAAACCACTTCTCTGTTTCTGGACCCTGCCGGCTAGTCCATTTCCTATCCCAGACCATTTACCCTGGTTACTCCCAACTGTCCACAACATTAAAAACCATATGATAACCATATAAAAACCTGAAACTAATAGAATGCTATGCTTATTGTGCTTGAATACAAAATATGAAATGGTGCTCCTCTTGTTTGTGCCTTTCCAATATCTCTAGGCTCTTACACTCTTTATGTTTTGTCTGCTAGCCAAGTCATGCATTTTGGCTCCTTTCATTTTTCTCTCTTAAATAAATCTCTTCATACTCACTTTGGACCCTCTCCAATTTTCATAGTTTTTGTTCTTTTCCCTCCTCCCATTTCCTTGTTGCTTAGAAAAATGCGCTTACATTGAAAAGCACTGGCTTTAAAATATAGTTTGTTTGAAGTCCATGTACAATTTTTGAGCCTGGTGTTTATGACAGAGGGATGCAAGGCATGGTCCCGGTCTTCAGGGAGTATGTGCTCTCGCATCTCTGAACTCTGCATGCCTCTGGGCTGTAGGCAAAAGGTGTTGGGGGCATTTCTTGGACATCAAGCAAATGAGAGCAGCTAGTCTCCAGCCCAGTGTGTTTGGGTGGTATCTCCTAGAATCATCCTGCGCTCTTCTATTCTTTCTGCACACTCAGAACTGCAACTCTGCACCCCTCAGGGAATATTCAGGAGAGTCTGAGTTCCCTGGCCACCCACTTGTCACAGAGAAGACCAGACTTTGGCTTTGAGTCAGAAGACCTGGTTTAGGGTTTAGGTGGAAAGGCATTCAACTGAGTTCGGCAGTCCTGGATCAGGATCCTGGTCATGCTTACCTGTTTATCCTTGGGTAAGATTTATCAAGCTCCCATTTACTCACCGGTAAAATGGGGATAATGATAACTACCTCATAGCATCGTTATGAGGATGGCATTATGAGGATAAGGTAATGTGATTAAGTGAAAAAGTCTGTGGCACATGGCAGGCACTCAGCAAATGCTCCCAAACCAGTGTAGTGGCATTTTAGCTATGGCCGGTCTTTTGTGGCTGCGTTGTGACTTTGTTAGTGGACATGCATGTGAGCTGTCTTGTAAAGTCTGAATTATACCATGGCCTCTGTGATATTTGGACAGGTTAAGTCATTGGCTCTAAGATTCAAAACTAGTATGGGTATGGCCATAAACGAGGTGTATTGACAAGAGTTTTATATTTAACTACGTGGGAAAGATGCATCCAGATGTATAATAACCACTTCAGAAAATGCTTTGGTCATACTGGTCAGGATACAAACAAAAAAAAAAAGTGCCATTTCCAGTGATACATGAGGTCTTCCTTCCACCTACACATTTAACCATTCAGCTAGGCTAAATGGAGCTCCTACGATGTGCCAAACATGAGGCAAGGGAACCATAGATATAATTCCTGCCATGTATGTGTGTGTGTGTGTGTGTGTGTGTGCGCGCGCGAGCATGTGTATGCGTGTGTGCTCTTGGTGTGTAGCCAGTACAGGTTGGCATAGACTGTGATGGAAATTAACAGAGGAGTTATGGCAAGGGGCAGAGAGAGGGGCAGCTGATGCCATTTAGGGGGTCAGGAAGGTTCTCTGTAGAAGATGATCTGATAGACAATTTCCTATTTATGGTGATGCTGGACCAATCAGAGTAGGTTCTGGTCAAGATGCTGGAGAGTTTCCTAGAGATTAGTTTCGCTGTGTATTAACCTTTCCATTGCTGCTTCCAGGGGCCTTAGGGGATGAGACAGGAAAGCTCCACAGAGGCTTTCTGTATTTTATCATCCATTCTTGCCACTTGTCTATTATTTCACCTGTTTATGAAGTTTAGGACAAAGTTACCAGGTTTACAAAAATCCTAAATTCATCACCAGGATCTGAATCCAACTTTATTTTTCCCTCTCTTGCTTTTTAAAAATGGTGTTTTAAGGTTTTCTTTTCCATCAAATGTACAGATATTTTTTTACAGTTTCTTGTTAAACAGAATCCCCAAAATAGTTTTGAGCATTTCAGTCACTGTGTTATTTGCATTAGTGGGTGTGTTGGTTGTCTTCTTTCCCTCCATCACAGAATCCTGCCCAATACATGGTAAACCTCTCATCTTGTCTTTTTACCCTCATTGTCCATTATTTCAAGGCTCTGTGTATTTTATTCTTATTTTTTGTGTTTATCATGAGTAATGCGGGAAGTGCCTGATGCCTTCTACCAATCTCCATGAAGATTTCTGGGCAGGAAGGAGACTGTCCATTTTGGAAGGTGAATGGTGTAGACTGTGATGTGTTTGAGTTGGGAGAAACTGAGGTTAAGCACAAAGCCTTTCCTGGTTGACCACCTGACTGTGGGCTAGTTAATTTCTCAGGACTTAATCAAAACTAGAGATAGAAATCATGAGACTTAAATGAGCCAACCCAGTTGGTTCAGGTCCTTCATGATGCAGACACCAGGACGAGATTAAACATGCAAAGATTTTATTGGGAGAAATTCCCGTGAGAAAGGAAATAGGGAGGGAGTTTGGGAAGGCTGGGAGAGCCTCAGGTATAAAGGGGAAGGGGCGAGGAGGTTGTATGGAAGCATCCAAGACTACTGTTTAGTCTAAGGGAGGGTTGACCAAGTCGCAGGGAAGTCCTGCACCTAAGCTGGTCCGGAAAGGAGTCTCAGAACCCATGGCTCCAGAAAGGGGTCAGGCATAGAGTCCACACAGGGCTCTGTCATAGTGGAGAGGCAGCCTGTGAGGGGTGTGTCTTCAGTGTCAATGAGGGGGACTTCAGGTGTAGCAGCTTTAGCTTC